TGAAAGAAATTTTGGAGTCTTCTGGTGCCTTTTCTTTAAGAACGGGAAATAATCTTGATGACCTCTCGTGTTTTATTTTTGAAATAATCTCAAAAATATTTTGGAGGCTTCTGATATTTTGATATGGTAAAAATTTTGGGAGCTCTTGATGTTTTTGCTTCAAGAACGTGAAAGAATCTTGATAGCCTTTTGTGTTTTATTTTTGAAATAATTTTAAAGATCTTCAAAGCTTTGATATTTGTTCCGTTTCGAATTAATTTGGAAAAGTCTTAGGGATCCCTAGTGTCTTTAAGAATGTGAAATAATCTTGGAAGAGTCCGGTGGTTATTTTAGGAATGTGAAATAATCTTATGAGCTTCTGTAGTATCTTTACAAAGAATGTGAAGAAATCTTGGAGATTCCCTGCGTTTTGTTCTTGAAAATGTCTTAAGGGCCTTTAGTAAATGTTTTTAAGAATATGAAAGACAATTTAAGGTTCTTCTGGTATCTTTTCTTTAAGAACGCGATAGAATCTTAAAGGTTCCTTTGTGTTTCATTTTTGAAATAATTTAAGAAAATCTTCGAGGCCGCTGATATTTTATTTTTTAATTGGTTTAAAAAATTCTTAGGTATCTCTAGCGTTTTTTCTGAGACTGAAATAATCTTGGGGACTTTGGTATTTTTTTTTAAAGACGGTGAAAAAATCTGGGGGATTCCTTGGGTTTTGCTTTTGAAAAGTATCTTTAGGACATCCAGTGAATGTTTTTAAGAACATGAAAGAAATTTTGGAGTCTTCTGGTGCCTTTTCTGTAAGAACGGGAAAGAATCTTGACGACCCCTTGTGTTTTATTTTTGAAATTATGTCAAAAATATTTTGGAGGCTTCTGATATTTTGATATGGTAAAAATTTTGGGGGCTCCTGGTGTTTTTGCTTCAAGAACGTGAAAGAATCTTGATACCCTCTTGTGTTTTATTTTTTAATTATTTTAAAAGATCTTCAAAGCTTCGATATTTGTTTCGTTTCGAATTAATTTGGAAAAGTCTTAGGGATCCCTAATGTCTTTAAGAATGTGAAATAATCTTGGGAGAGTCCGGTGCTTATTAAGACTGTGAAAAAATATTGAGGGCTTCTGTTGTATATTTACAAAGAATGTGAAGAAATCTTGGATATTCCCTGTGTTTTGCTCTTGAAAGCGTCTTAAGGGCCTCTAGCAAATATTCTTAAGAATTTGAAAGAAATTTTGAGGTTCTTCTGGTATCTTTTCTTTAAGAACGCGAAAGAATCTTAGAGGTTCTCTGTGTTTCATTTTTGAAATAATTTAGGAAAATCTTCGAGGCTGGTGTTATTTTGTTTTTGAATTAGTTTAAAAAATTCTTAGGTACCTCTAGCATTTTTTCTGAAACTGTGAAATAATCTTGGGGACTCTGGAATTTTTTTAAAGAAGGTGAAAGAATCTGGAGAACTCCTTGGGTTTTGCTTTGAAAAGTATTTTTAGGGCCTCCAGTGAATGTTTTTAAGAATATGAAAGAAATTTTGGAGTCTTCTGGTACCTTTTTTTTAAGAACGGGAAAGAATCTTGACGACCCCTTGTGTTTTATTTTTGAAATAATGTCAAAAATATTTTGGAGGCTTCTGATATTTTGATATGGTAAAAATTTTGGGAGCTCTTGGTGTTTTTGCTTCAAGAACGTGAAAGAATCTTGATAGCCTTTTGTGTTTTATTTTTGAAATAATTTTAAAGATCTTCAAAGCTTTGATATTTGTTCCGTTTCGAATTAATTTGGAAAAGTCTTAGGGATCCCTAATGTCTTTAAGAATGTGAAATAATCTTGGGAGAGTCCGGTGGTTATTTTAAGAGTGTGAAATAATCGTGAAGGCTTCTGTTGTATCTTTACAAAGAATGGGAAAATATCTTGGAGATTCCCTGTGCTTTGCTCTTGAAAATGTCTTAAGGGTCTTTAGTAAATGTTTTTAAGAATCTGAAAGAAATTTTGAGGTTCTTCTGGTATCTTTTCTTTAAAAACGCGAAAGAATCTTAGAGTTTCCTTGTGTTTCAGTTTTTAAGTAATTTAGGAAAATCTTCGAGGTTGCTGATATTTTGCTTTTGAATTGGTTTAAAAAATTCTTAGGTACTTCTAGCGTTTTTTCTAAGACTGAAGTAATCTTGGGGACTCTGGTATTTTTTTTAAAGATGGTGAAAAAATCTGGGGGATTCCTTGGGTTTTGCTTTTGACAAGTATCTTTGGGGCCTCCAGTGAATATTTTTAAGAAGATGAAAGAAATTTTGGAGTGTTCTGGTACCTTTTCTGTAAGAACGGGAAAGAATCTTGACCACCCCTTGTGTTTTATTTTTGAAATAATCTCAAAAATATTTTGGAGGCTTCTGATATTTTGATATGGTAAAAATTTTGGGGGCTCCTGGTGTTTTTGCTTCAAGAACGTGAAAGAATCTTGATACCCTCTTGTGTTTTATTTTTTAATTATTTTAAAAGATCTTCAAAGCTTTGATATTTGTTTCGTTTCGAATTAATTTGGAAAAGTCTTAGGGATCCCTAGTGTCTTTAAGAATGTGAAATAATCTTGGGAGAGTCCGGTGCTTATTAAGACTGTGAAAAAATCTTGAGGGCTTCTGTTGTATATTTACAAAGAATGTGAAGAAATCTTGGATATTCCCTGTGTTTTGCTCTTGAAAGCGTCTTAAGGGCCTCTAGCAAATATTCTTAAGAATTTGAAAGAAATTTTGAGGTTCTTCTGGTATCTTTTCTTTAAGAACGCGAAAGAATCTTAGAGGTTCTCTATGTTTCATTTTTGAAATAATTTAGGAAAATCTTCGAGGCTGGTGTTATTTTGTTTTTGAATTGGTTTAAAAAATTCTTAGGTACCTCTAGCATTTTTTCTAAAATTGTGAAATAATCTTGGGGACTCTGGCATTTTTTTTAAAAAAGGTGAAAGAATCTGGAGAACTCCTTGGGTTTTGCTTTGAAAAGTATCTTTAGGGCCTCCAGTGAATGTTTTTAAGAATATGAAAGAAATTTTGGAGTCTTCTGGTGCCTTTTCTTTAAGAACGGGAAATAATCTTGACGACCTCTCGTGTTTTATTTTTGAAATAATCTCAAAAATATTTTGGAAGCTTCTGATATAATTGCTATGGTAAAAATTTGGAGGGCTACTTGTGTTTTCCCTTCAAGAACGTGAAAGAATCTTGATACCCTCTTGTGTTTTATTTTTTAATAATTTTAAAAGATCTTGAAAGCTTTGATAATTGTTTTTCGCATCAATTTGGAAAAGTCTTCTTAGCGATCCCTAGTGTTGTTAAGAATGTGAAATAATCTTGGGAGATTCCGGTGGATATTTTAAGAATGTGGAATAATTTTGAGGGATTCTGGTGTCTCTTTACAAAGAAAGTGAAGGAATCTTGGAAATTCCCGGTGTTTTGCTCTTGAAAGTGTGTTAAAGGCCCCTAGCAAATGTTTTTAAAAATTTGGAAAAGATTTTGAGGTTCTTCTGGTATCTTTTCTTTGAGAATGCGAAAGAATCTTAGAGGTTTCCTGTGTTACATTTTTGAAATAATTTCAAAATATCTTCATGTTTGATGTGAAAGAAATTTGGGGTGTTCTTGATGTCTTGTCTTTAAAAAAAATAGAGGGATCTTGGCAACCCGTTATGTTTTATTTTTGAAATAATTTTAAAAGATCTTCTAGGCTCCAGATGTTTGTTTTATTTCGAGTTACTTTGAAAAATTTTATGGATCCTTTGTGTCCTTTTTAAGAATGTCATATAATCAGTCCTAAGGGATTCTGGTGTCTCTTTATAAAGAAAGTGAAACAATTATAGAAATTCCTTGTGATTTACTTTCAAAAGTGACTTAGGCATTTCTATTAAATGGTTTCAAGAATGTGAAAGATGTTTTGGGGTCGAAATAATTTTTGAAATTTTTGAAATAAATTGAAAAGATCTTGGAGGCCTCCAATGTTTTATTTTTGAATTAGTTTAAAAAAATATTAGGGAGATTTAGTGTCTTTTTTAAGCATGTGAAATAATCTTGGTAGACTCTAGTGACGGTTTTTGAAAATGTGAAATATATATTTAACAATATGTTATAATAGTAGTAACTGCCTAAGGAGGCTGTAAATGATACTGTATAAGTAACAGGTAGAATCCCGTGCTAAAAACGTACTTTTAAAATTTTAGTTTGTCCATGAAATATTTCTTGAGTTTTTATTTAGAACTCGTATATTTTACCCCCATAATCACACTATAAAATTTGAGTGAATGCAAAAATAACGTTCTTGGTATAATTTAATCGTCCAATAAAGCATTTTATGAAGAGGTGACTAAAAAATCCCCCTGCAGCACCCAACAATGGGTGCGAATTCCATTCTTCAGATGTAAACTTTGACGTCACAAATTTAAATGAAACAAGAAACAACAGCACCGACTCAATAAATTCCAGACCCAAGGGCGTCATTGACCTTTATTACAGATTCATGTAACAATAGGGAAAGGCCTTTAATCCGTATCACACGACTGAAAGTTACGAAAGAGGATTTTGTAGTCTAGTACACAATTACATCAGCCCGAGTAGCAAGTACAACACCAAAAACAATGAACAGAACCCAAAATTAGCAACATGGAATGAACAATCATCAAACACTTGTAGTATGACAATAATCCCTTCATTGAGACAATATTTTCGTCACAGATTTAATATTAACCCAATTTTGCTAGAACCCTGACGGGTTAATAAAGGCTTTATTAACTTGTCATGCGATTAGTTGACGGTGTGGTCAAATTGAACGAATTAAATTCTCAATTATGCCTTAACGCCCTATTAAATATTTATAAAGCCGTTCGTGTTTAATTTGTATTTCGCACGGTATACGTTGGCTTTCTGAGCCAATTTCTCTCCTGCAACAACAAACCTCCCGGACGTCCGATAATTGGGCGAAACTGTTGCAATTACCGACTTCTACGCCGTTTCTCCTCCCGGATTAATTCGAACAATACACCGGACAATTACCTGATAGAAGAGTTGATACTCGGTGTCGGCCAGGCGCAGAGCAACCTCTTCAGGGAAGTGGAGCAGCTCCTGCAACTCCTCCAGCTCTGCGCAGTAACTTGTCTGCGCTGCGAGAGGAATCCTCTTCTCCAGCTCTGCAACAAAAATCACAACTAATTAAAGCAGGACGACACCGCAGGGAGCGCACTTCACGGGGGCGGGTTGCGGATGCTGTAAATCTGCGGATGCCCACAAAGGGTTGGAGGCGTTTTTAAAATTGTGGAATCATCAGAGTCTTGAAAATAAATGTGCAGCATTGATCACGAGGGGGAATCTTATTATCTTTTCTGTGGGACGCAGAGTCGAGTCGAAGTGATTATGTTAATTGTGCGTCGGTGGAGGAAATTTGAGACTAGTAACGGAAAGATCTCTTTGAGAACTGTTTAACGTATTTAACGGTGTTTTTGCTGCATTAATGTTGAATATTGATTTATTATTTGTAAAGGAGCTGATTAAAGTAACTGTGTTCAGTATGCTGGACTCAAAAATTTCAGACAATGGGTTTCACTGTGAGCAAGATGCTTGTATTGCGATGACGTATTATCGCAATGGAGTCTTTGAAGATGGAACATGGTTATATTCAGATCTTGTCGGTAAGCAAGTTTCCTGAGTTTCAAGACAAAGACTTCTTTACAAAGTATCGGCAACGTGGTAAACCGATGCGGTAATACAGGAACAATACACAAAGTAAATCTGGACGGTCTGGTGTATCTGAGAAGATTGTTGAAAACGTGAGAGAAACAATGGCGGACAGTCTAAGAACATCTATGCGATTCTTAAAAAAATTGGTCGAAAGTTGTTTCGATGGCATCGCCATTTTTGGAGGAGATGTATATCAGTTGGATTGGTGCAGTGTAGTACTAAAAATAATAGTATATTGTATTCCCAAAATTTTCTGGTAAAATGGAGTGAGCCGTTCTTAATTTAAACAATAAAATAAATCGACTCAGTCATTAATTTTCTTTAGGTCACCTGTATAAGCAAATGTAAAAAAGAATGTCACGTAGAAGTTTGTTTAATTTGAATGACTTGCGTCCTCAAAACAGAAGATTAGTTTAGCCACAATTGAAAAAATGTTTTGAATATGATTATTATTATTCTTATTTGGATCATAATTAAATAAAGACGGGGCTGTTTCCACGTTTTCTAGAAATGGTTCTTAATTCGATCAATAAAAAATTGGTCGAAGGCTATAAGTATAATCCGACAAATCCAGCTCTTTAAAAAAATTATAAAATTTGATTTTACGATTTTAGTTTTGTAATAACCGCTGTAAAGTAAAAACCAAAGGCATAAAAACACCCCTTGTCCTTCAGTACTAGGTAATAGCAATCTGAAGGTAAAAAGTTTATTTATGTTTATACATCGAAGAATGTCACGTAGAAATTAGTTTGATTTGAATGAGTTTAGCATAGGAATATATTTTTGTATAACATTTAACTCATTTTAAAATACATACTGTTCATTGAGATGACGTCATCAAATTGTTGGTGGGGATGATTAGCCAAATTTTGTTTAGCATTTAACCGTCTACATGATATTCCTAACATACAGGGTGTTATTGAAAGGTACGTACAATAAAATTGACAGTTATTCGGGAAGTCTAAGAAGTCTGAAAAACTTATTTTGTGTTATCAAAATTATAAGGGGAAAATTAACCCGGATGCCCACAAAGGGTTGGAGGGGTTTTTAAAATTGTGGAATCATCAGAGTCTTGAAAATAAATGTGCAGCATTGATCACGAGGGGGAATCTTATTATCTTTTCTGTGGGACGCAGAGTCGAGTCGAAGTGATTATGTTAATTGTGCGTCGGTGGAGGAAATTTGAGACTAGTAACGGAAAGAAAAAAAAAACTTTTTAGACGCTACTGAAGGATAAATAGGTAAAATTAATTTATTTTAGTAAATCTTAGCAACTGTAAGAATAAAACTTTTGTCAAGACTAAATGTTCATATAGAAACGAAAGATGATCTTTTTATCAGAGGCGTACAACGAATATGGACATACATTTTAATAATTTTTATCTCTAAAAGGAAAACACTTTTACCTGAACTTTTTTTTACTTTTAGCACCCATACTTCGAGACCAATTGCCGATTTTATTTTGTACGTACCTTTCAATAACACGCTGTATATACCAAATTTGACAACAATCGGTTCACCAGTTTCGGAGATCACGTGTCTAATACGAATGGATACAGACAGACAGGCGGAAACGGGAGACTACTTTTTTCGTACTGTAGGGGTCACGAAACGTCGAGAGAAAATATAAAAGTGGCCATTTGTCCGATGACTCGATTACAATACTTCCCGAGCGTAAGCGAAGAATGCTCGAAGCTTATTTCGATAGACCTTCCTTCGCTTCTGAAGTACAGCACTACTTTTCCAACTTTTTCGAAAATTTAACATTAGGATCCGGTTATAAAGCGAAATTAAAGTTCATTCGCAATTAACTTTTAATTGAGGCCCGTCGCTAGGCAATGTGCATGTTTTAACCAATCACGGGCTCATATTCAATATTTTAATCCTCTAATCGAGGATTAAATATTTCATTCGCTTTTGCTATTCGCAAGTTTCAAGTGCATTTACAAAATTTTGTGATGACGTCATTAACATTCTATCAAGGACACGTATTTTCTGGAAAATCGGGTCAACCATTCTTGATTTAATCAATAAAGAAATTCTGCTATCGAAGACTCGATTTTGCATTGATTCGAACGCATTATTATAAGAAACCATAAACTCAGAACATGAAGCAAAAACGACTGGCGGTCACGGTTTACGATTGTTTCGGCTTGTTTGATAACTTTCCTCATTTTGTGAGTGCAAGAAAATATTTTTTAGTATTTTGTAATTGAAGAAAAAACGAGATTTTTTTAATAGAAAAACAAACTTGGTCAGGTTGGATATATCGGAGATCTATATATTTTGCTTATTTCTTAATGCACGTAGTCGTTTTTTCATCACAAGAAGCTTAAAATATGCTTAAAATGGTAAATTCTTGTAGATAAATATGGATCTTGCAATTAAGCCCCGCCTCTCGATCTGACAACGAGTGAAAAATTCATCACAATTGAGAATTGAGATCGGGGCGGGTATGGGTAGGGCCTAATCTTTGATTCAATTTTTTTCTTGATTTACATAATATTCTTTGATCAAAACGGTACTCAAAAACATGTTTTTAATTTCTTGTAGAGAAATAAGGATTTTGCAGTTAAGCCCTCTTGGCTCACGACGAATAAAAAAAATTCATGAGAATTGAGACAGGGCGGGTGGGCGGGGCTTATAATTTGCCTTGTTTTTCTTAATATACGTAGCCATCTTTCCACAACAAAAAACTCAAAACATGGTCAAAATGGTACATTTTTGCAAGGAAATATGGATTTTGCAATTATGGGAGGAGCTTGACAGCAAAATCGATATTTCCTTATACAGATTTTCCATTTTAAACATGTTTTAAGTTTCTTGTTGTAAAAAGAAGTCTACTTATATTAAAACAAAAAGGCAAAATGTAAGCCCGCCCACCCGCCCTGTCTCCATTGTGATCATGTTTATCTGCAAAATACTTATTCCTTTACAAGAAATTAAAAACATGTTTTTGAGTACAGTGTTCTTCAAACAACACCCTATATATTAAGAAAAAAACGCTACATATTAAACCCGCCCACCCACCCTCATCCCAATTGTAATGATTTTTTTAATTCTTAGAAACTTAAATCATGTTTAAAATGGAAAATTTTTGTAAGGAAATATGGATTTTAAAATTAGGCTCCGCCCCTAGGTCTGCCAACGAATGAAAACTTTATTAATATTTAGATCAGGGCAGGTATGCGTGGGGTTTAATCTTTGTCTTTAATTTTTTCTTAATATACATAATATTTTTTGAATAAGACGATACTCAAAAACATGTTTTTAATTTCTCGTAGAAAAATGAGGATTTTGCAGTTAAGCTCCGCCCTCTTGGCTCACGACGAATGAAAAAATCATCAGAATTGAAATAGGGCGGGTGGGCGGGGCTTATATTTTTAGATGCAAAGCTGACGCGTTCACCACTAAGCCGTGACCTATGTTTCAAATGGTTGGTATTTGTGTTTGTGTATTTAAAGACCAGCTGTACTACGAAAAATACTCAATAATAAAAATGATAATAATAACAAACAAAATCGAGGCAGATTCATAAACTACATGTACAGGACTGTTGTTTTATATAAATGTAGATTGTAGATTTTCTCATAGACGTTTAACTGGTCCAGTTTCCTTCCAAGCAGCCCTTGTAATGCAGGATATAGGAATCAGGTTTTAGACGTATTTATACACAAACAGCACGATGATGAACTGGTGGCTACTTTCAGCAAGATAGAACCACAGCCCATATTATAATTGCAAGAATTATCCTCAAGAATTTTATGATGACAGAATAATAAGCACAGGAGCAGATATTTTGTGACCAGCTCGTTCATCAGAGCTTACTCCTCTCGATTTCTCTACATTTAGATATCTGCCGACCTCAGTTTTAAGAGTAGAATGGAGAATAAGACAAGTCAAGGATATTTTTAAAAATAAAGTGACAATAATTATAATATGTTTGTAGCAAAATGGAGGAGGATTTCTGATGTTGTTTGGTGGATCCAGAAAAAAGTCGTCACATGGATAAATTTTTTCAAGTAAAATAGTTTTCATAGATTTTTTCGTTTCTATCGTATACGTTGTCCTAATTCGTATTAGAATTTGATCAGATAGCCTGCAGTCTACAGTCACTTCTTGAGCATAAACTAAGGAAGTATTGTGGTCAAGTCCACCGAACGACTGGCCACTTTTATGTTTTCTCGACGTTTCATGACCCCAAGAATACGAAACAATAGGTTTCCTGTTTTTGTTCGCCTGTCTGTCTGTGTGTACGCCGTCTGTGTCTATTTTTATTATAATACATATAATCTCCGAAACTACTGGCCTGTTTATTCAAAATTTAAAAAAACACCACCTGTTGAATTAAGTTGGTACCTACCGTATAAAGCACCTCTAGGGCTTATTTTTACATTGGAAAGTTGGTAGCAAAGAAAAACTTTAAATTTGAAACTTCATGAAAAAAATGTCA